AAAAACGCGATATCGGTCGTCCAGTGCCTGTGTCGTGCGTCTAGCGATTTCTCCCGCTGTCTGCCGCTGTTTCTTCTGGCCTGTAAGGCAAATACCGTCATCTGCGGGTGTGGTTCCTCGTGGACACACCACTCTAAACCCCGAATAGCGTTCCTGTATTTAAATTGTCTCCAAAGTCGTGAAACGATGCTGTGAGCAATCCGAACTCGGCAGCCACACTTGTCACACTGCGACCTTCCTCCAACTTCCCAATGATTCGACCTAGGGTAAAAGCCTCCAGATGTCGTCTAACAGATTGTATTCGCCATTTCTCGCTGAGGCAGCAACTCGTGTGATTTTAACTGCTATACGGGTGCAATCTCTTGCCAGAAATACTAACAGATTCTAACTAATCAACAGATTGATTATTCGCCCATTTCGCTGAGGCAACTCGGTGTGATTTTAACTGCTATACGGCGTGCAATCTCTTTGCCAGAAATACCGACAACATGCTTTATACTACTCAGACACTCCCCCATTACGATACCTGCATATCTTATGCGTTGTACATCACCTTACTTAATCTCCTGATTGGTCTTTCGTCCGCTCTGCTCTTCGTTCAGCTGATATGTAATTTCGACTTCGTCTTTAATTTTGCACACATTATAATTAGTGTAAATATTTTTATGATATGCATAGTTTTATGTAAAGATAGCATTTGGGCTCATAATGTTCATCACATATTTCTTTCTTCATTTTACTTACCACTTATTACGTAATATTTCACATGGATATTTTTACGGAGTATCTAACATTTGTTTGTATTTATTTCAAATTCTTTTAACCAGGTAGTAAAATCTTTACAATTGCTTATATTTGATTTAACTTCGCAATGAAAATTTTCAGAAGAAATAGACGATGCTTTAATTACTTTGAACTGCGTGGCAAAATATATTTTCAGCCATCCTAAAGCGCGCGAAAGGTCATGTGACATGACAGAAATATTACTGGATGCTCATTGGTCCATCCTAGAAGCCACTCCCTCGGTAAATACACAGATGTGCACTTGTGAAATATGCTACCGGGATCCGTATCAGATTCACTATCTGAAAGCAATCGTGTAGCATTTTCAGTGTTTCCGAAATGGTCAACCCTCTCCTATCCATTTGGAAGATAATTAAAAATCCGAAAAAAATAAACTAATATTATATCTACAATTTGAAATTATAAACTATAAAATTAAATTAAATAAACGCCTTCAACTCAAAACTATTAAACGTAGCGCTAACAATACTTCTCTGAACGAAAGCGTAAGAGAAAAAGAGAGCTGCTCTAGTGAAAAACCAAACAGCTAACTGATAAAATTACCCCTGATCTTCATATAATCCCCCCGACAATTTCTTTGTTGATAATCAGGGCCTTCCTCCTAAAAAGAGAGAGAGAGAGAGTTAAGAAGAAAGAGAAAAACAGAAATGAAACACAGATGTGGACTCACCTTTCTAGCGTGAATGATCTGACCTATGAGCTGCAGATAAACAAAGATTCAGTTGTTGGTATTGTCCTAGTCTCTCAGTGAGCCCACTCTGGGCACACCTAACGTTCGCCGTTCAATTTTAGGCATGATTTCAAGGTAAAATTTTAAAACTAATATAGAATAAGAAGATTAGCATACAGGCAAGAAAATAACTTCGAACTTTCTTTTCAAACAATTCCTTTTATATCCTAAAATAATCTAGAAGATTTTTGTGAAAAATGAGGGTCTTTAAAAACTAAACGTGGCAAAAATATGTGGACTGTTTTGTGATGCAATAACACGTATGTTGACGATGCATGAGTATTATTGCTTGAAAAATTAAGTATTTTACGCTCTGCTGAATAATACCGCACTTGTGTTTTCGAGATATTTTTCCCTCAATGGCGGGCCACATGTGGTGACCATTTTATTGTGAAGGCACCTAATAGGCAGTCACCGTTACCTCCTGAGAGGGAACAGACAATTTTACATCCATGCCTTTTCCGTGATTCGAACTCGAGCCCTTTGGTATCGCACTCAAGCTCGTCTAACCACTATACCGTCTGGGCTGCGAGACACTTTTAAAAGGTTGTATTTATACCAGCAAAAACAAAATACTAACCTTAACTTTTGACGCCATTATACAGTATAATGTTTCTAAAAGGTCAGATCAAAGCTGGCAGTGGTTTGGAAGATTATTTTTGACGCCAAATGCAACGAGAAATCCCCAAAACTCACCAAACGTTATGACTATTTGGCGAAGGTTTGCTCCGATCTTTCAATTCATTATACAACTGGAATTGGTTCGATCTCTAAATGTAATGTAACGGTATCCGTCCTTATGTAACTGTTAACAGCTTATACTTTCTACAATTTCGAGAAGTCGAAACTGCTGGAAATTTCATTGGTGGACGGTTTTTAATTTTAACTCAGAAGTTCAGAGTATTAAGACATCACCGTGCGAGCTCTCGCTTTTGACGTTCTTTGCATTGCCTTGTGTTCAAAGTTCTTAAGTAGTTTGAAGTAGTAACTACTTATTGCACTCTGTTATACTGCAAAGACCTGTGCGAGCACTTTTGTGTGGAAAGTTCAGAAATGTTCAGTGTTTTTGGAAAGTAAATTTTATCAAGCTTTCACCGATTCTATGTACATTCAATTCATTATGAACCCTTAGGCACGTAACAACATAATGATTTTAATAAATCCAGCTAATGTGATTTCACCAGTCAAACTAGTAATTAATAATTAAAATGAGTCTTCGTTGATTGCTTTCATTTCATTGATCTCTTGATTTGCTTATTAATAACAGAATAAATTTTGAAGGAAAATGAAATGTTATCTTACGCTTTGCCGCATAGAAGACAAAAAATTTAATTCGGGCATCGGCAATAGGTTTAATTTAAATCCTTGAGTTTGTTGCTCAAATTCGAATAACAAATATATTACATTTTGCAAAGTGGCAACGCACTTGTTTGTATCTCCGAAATTCCGTATTAAATTTTAAATAGCTTAGCCTTTACAGAGTGACAGCACAAAACTTCTAAATCGCTGATATTTTTAATCACACTCTTTTTAAATTTCGCCTAAAACAGAAAATAAATAAAAGACAAATTCAAAATTCGGGTTTTCACATGACAAGTTCCAGTAGAAAACTACCTCTGTTTAAATTGAGACTACCTAGGTACTGTGTTTTCAACAATGAGAGGAACAGACATTCATATACGAGTAATTTTATATATATAGGTTCTTTATTTTTAAAACATAGGCGTTACATCATTATTCATTTGGGAAGACTACATTATCTATGCTTTTGGACTATGTTACAGAGACATCTTGATCGAGTGTGTAATTTCTGATAAAATCTGTTTAATGATTCCTGTTAATTAAGCATAAAATCAGACATAGTTAACTTATTAAATTCAATGAATGGGAAATTTAATTTAGTTAATAAAATTTCTCGTCTTTTACAATTAAGTCAACCAAGCAAAGAAATGGAACTGATCGTGAATTTCTAAATATCCATACAGAAGCTTGAGATTAGCATTTAAATTTTCTGCCGAAAGCCAACAACATAACAAGGATTGGAAACTGCAGTTTAGTATAGCTTTCAATGATTTCATTTTCCTAGAAGATAAAAAGAAAAGAAACTTTGAACTCATGTATTATGAAATATTGATAAATAATAGCAGATATTCAGTAAATAATATCAGTTTTTCTGGATATGAATAAATAATAGTGTTTTCGGGGAGAATTCTATGCTTATATCAGCATTTATGTTGAATAACTTAGAATATTCTGTCATGTAAACATACTTTATATAATGATAGATGTTTTATGACGACCGAAAGAGTTATGTGCTGGAAGCCGTGTTCCGGATAACTACCCGGGTTATTTTATAACTTGTGGGAAAATGTTTCGCCTGCACATGTTCTGTCTCGCATCAAGTAAGTCAGCCAATAAAATTTGCCGAAAGCGAAGATTCTCGGAAATGTTTCTTTTGACGGGCAGCTTAGGATTGCTAACAGATCTGAGGGTAGTTTACAATTATAATAATCAGCCGGACAGTGGAGAATTCTTCAAAAGGCCACAAATTGCTATTTTTAAACCCTGCTGTTATGTTTTCAAATTTCTCGTATGCTCTGGTATGAGCTAAAATTGTCACATTAGTCAACATGGACAGACTAGGGTTTAACTGAAGTGCTGCTTTTAGTAAAACATAAGAATAAATGTCATAAAATGCTCTCTAAACTCTGATATCTCCATTAAGCGATGTCTTCAGAAAGTATGTGTGTAGGATTATGGCTTAAGGAATAACACACTGAAACTTAAAATACTGGAGCCAACTTGCACAGCAAATTATTTGAATATTCCGCAAATCCGGATAATTGTACAGTTTTTTAGGCCAAACATATACAGTAATCCTTTTCTTGAACAAACAGAAGTTAGAAACTTAAAAATGTGACAAAATATTTTAAAATAAACATAAAAGTGCTTTTTACAGCAAACGTGCATAAAGGTTATTTTAATTTTTAATTGCATCTCGTAGCTATTTCAACTAACACAAAGTAAAATCAATTTCAATTACGTAGGCTGTGAAGCTAAGCACAGAACTATTTTCTTACTTTCTACTAATCTAAAGCTAGGTACAAAAATTCTCGTTACTTTTTAAAACATTAGAAATAAACAATGTTTACATTTATGTCAAAGAGCCCACCAGCGGCCGAGCGGTAAAGTCGCTGAACATTGGTAGTTCGGTCTGAGGTTCGAATCCCGCGAACGGGATGGCTGCATGGAGGATTTTGTGGTTTTCCCCATGTGTAACGTGTATACGAGCCAGTTTCCTTTAGAAAGTCCTCCACGAAGGCATCCCTCCCCTTAGGCAGATAGCCCTCGAGGCCTTGCCCATAATCACACACACCACACCATTTATGTCAAAGCTTCAAATTTTTAGACTAAAATTTCTTGCGTTAAGGAGCACGCAGACTTATTATATATGTATATATATATGGAACGGGAAACTGAAAGTTTCACTCGGATTCGAATTTTGATCTCCCAAATGGCAGTCGAACACGCTACCAGTTACATACAAGAGAGTGGAGAGGGCAGGAAGAGATCGGAATTTCCTTATTAACTTCAAAGTTATATACAGCTGTTTGAGTAGAGCAGACAGCTTAACGTATTAACCTTTTATTTTATTTTAATCAGTATAAAATCAAAATACACATTCGTAAATTAAAAAGCGAAGGGAGAATAAGAGCAGCAATAAACTAGAACTCCTGTTACTCGAGGCAGAATAATTAAAATTACTGCGCTGGTCTTGGGAATACAGTGAGAAATGTAAATTGCGAAATATTTTGTGAAGAGTATTGATACGTGATTGTCAATTAGCATTAAAGCACCTAAATATTATTGCTTTAAGGAAATATTACGGCAGTTCTTTTTCCCAAGATGCTTTCTACGTCCGTGTGAACAATTTTTTTGTAATGTGCGCACTCAAACCTAAAAAAGGAAATAGTTAGATTTTGCTTAAATTAAACATCGATGCTTAAACGCTCATGTTTTCGAAATATCTAAATAAATATCGATAGACCATTTTCATCGATGACTTAAAAATGATGAATACCTTTGCAAAATTTCAGGCATTCATCTTCGGTAGCGAATCTGTTTCCGTTTCCTCTACATCCTCCGTAGTTGAACTGGGAGCAAACTCCACTGGCTGAATCATAATACCATTTTGGGATTATAGCTTTACACGGACCTGCATCAGGCTTATCAGAGCAAGATTTCTTAACATCTGAAACGAAGTCACAATTAATAAGAAACTATATGTACATACAATAAATTACATCTTGCTATATCTAAGTTTAAATAAAATGTTCTTAAATGAGTGCGATTTGGCTAAATAATCATAACAATATATTGCAGTCACTGGTGTTATTTTCTTGTAAGAAGTAAAGGAAGTACTGTAGTCGAGAAGAATTTCGTGTATCATATTTCAATGAAAATATCCATTTTGACCACTATCGAAGGCAATTTAACGATTTTTTTGCGTGATATCTGTAAGTAAGGACTATATTCTGTATAACGGAACTATATTCTCCAATCTGTTCAATTTATCTGTATAACGAAACTAAATTATATTCACCAAAATGGATTGTAAAATGGATTACGAAGAATTTTTTTTTGTGACGTCTTTACCTACGTATGAATGCATCTCGCAAAACTAAAAAACGAGTAGCCTCAGAAAGTTGAAATTTTGTATATAGGACTGCTATAGCATACTGTTGTGCACCTCTCGCTTTGGTTGAAATCGCCAGAATCAAAAGTATATAAGTATATCTATACCTATATCTCTCTCTCTATCTCTATACATATATATATATATGTGTGCGTAAGATTAAAAATCTGATGTGTACACCACATGACTTCCTTGTACGGTATATTAAATAGCACGCAATTTTTCTTGCATTTCATTTAAACTTATTGGATTGAATTAAATATACTTGGCAGACAGCGCATAAACCACAATAGAATAAATGCATTCTTTAAAATTCACTCTAGTATTTGTTTACCATAGCGACACTCGAGCTAGATTCACATAACATCATATTTCGTTCATACTATAACTCATAATGCACAAAATTTATATCATTTAAAGAATAGAATTATCTAATCGTTGCCACATATTCTATTCAAATACTGTAATAAAGCTAGAATGATGTATAAAAGAAATTAAGCAAACAAAAAAAAAAAAAAACAGTTTTTCACAGACGATTGAGTATTTCTTATTCAATTAATTCAGTTCTCACTTCGCGAGAAGGCAAAAATGCATAAAAACTCAAAATATCTGTATTCAAAATTACAAAGTAAATCTTATTTCCTCGAAAAAATTCCAGAAAGTATTAAGCATGATTTTTCGCAATAATAAATGAATCTGTTATCTTTGTTGTTGCGAAGCTAAGTTCCTCTAGATTGGCAACAAATCCACTAGTCTGCTGTTTCAAATATAAGCAAGCAATGGCCGCCATCAAAAAATTATTAGGCTTCGCGGCACTTAAACAACTTTAAAATTGTTGATAATTCGAAAACTATTGCATACAGATTTACGAAAGGCATAAAACCCTTAACCGGGAGATAAGAAAAACATAATTTAATCATTTTTAAAACAAAAAATGCACAATTTACAAACATATAAGAGTAAAGAAACCGAGATCACTGAGCCGGGTAACAGAGTGGATATATATATAAATATAATTATATATGTTTGGTGCGGCCGATTGCAACCAAAATACGAGGTGCACGTGTACATGTTATAGCAGTCGTATATACAAAATTTCCACGTCTTGAGGCTGGTCGTTTTTGAGTTATGCGAATACGTACGTACGTACGTACGTACGTTCGTACAGACGCCAAGAAAAATTCTTTTCTTAATTAATTTTAAAGCAGTTTTATAATTTTTTTGGAGGAAACGAGTCTTTTATTCTGTCGTTACGTACAGATATCACGCAAAAACATCGTTAAATTGCATTCGATAGCGAACAAAATGGATATTTTCGTTGAAATATGCTGCCTGAAACTTTTCGCGATTACAATACTTCCTTTTTACTTCGCACAAGGAAGTAAAAATATGAAAACAGACATCTAAATTTAATTGGCTATGAGAATGATATCTATATGAAATTTAAAGTAAATAATTATTAAATTGGATAATATTAAATATTGTTAAAATGAATGTAGAAATACCAAAGGATTTTAATTTTAATTTGAATAATCGCTATAAAATTTATTGCATGCAGAATTTATATCAGAATTTAATTAAGAGTAAAATGCATTAACATTTGTTGGAATTATAGTAAATGAATGTTATACTTATCAATAATTGTTTATTAAATATATAGTATGATGAGGGAGTACTGGTTCAAAACAGAGGCCCTGTTTTTACCTCTGTTATTTGTTCTTTTACTCTCCTTATAATATAAACTTAGAAGGCTTCCAGGTGTATACGAGCCAGTTTCCCTAAGAAAGTCCTCCACGAAGGCATCCGTCCCCTTAGGCATATAGCTCTAGTGTGCTTTGCCATAATTAAATACACCACCTTGAAGGCTTCCACGTTTTAATTTTTTATATAGAATTTTTATTTTTTATATAATGGAGTGTTTTTTTAATAAATGGAATGTTTTAGTGCAGTTTACTAACCACTCATGAAAATTTATTTGAATGAATTTATTAAAGCGGATATGCCCAAATAGCTGGATATGTGTGTACTACGAGAAAGCTGTTGAGTCGCCTAGTTTGTGTAACAAATATAGCAAACTGCAAAATGTGGTAATAAAAGTAAAAACCATAATTTCAATCATGCTATTACAAATGATTATACTAGTATTTGAAAATTCATAAATTACTTCCGTGAAAATTATTTCGACTTACCATTTATAACAAGATTACAAATAAATGAATCATCCACACTAGTAAATCACAGAAGAACAAATAGCATTTCAAAGATAAAAGGGTTTTCCCTTCGAAATGCTATCCGTGTAATATATATAGCTATTCGTGCTATAAACCCCGAATTTTTCTAATTTATTTAATTGCCGAACCCTCCAGAAAAATTGGAAATGATGTCAAATATTCCAAACTCTTAAATCTCTAACAGGTCAAGCGGGAGCCAAATAATTTTTTTTTTATTTTTTTATACTGAGTATAAAAGTTTCCTAAGTAACATTATATGTGCCGGCAAAATAGTAAAATGTTAGATTTCGCAATTTTTATGAAATTGGTTTTTTCAAATTAAAAACTTCCAAAACATGTTTATTGTCGTCATATGAATTAATTTCGTAACTGTAATTATACGTCTGCGACGACTAATGATTTGGAGAATAAAAGTTAGGTAAGATCTTTTGTGGACACTGTGTAGTACAACTGACTGAATAAGTACCTCATTTCCTCAAAATCTGCTTCAAAAAATGATACTACTGACAAAATTATCTAATACAACCTGTAACTGAAGATGGATTTTAATGAATTTGGAATGAATGTAGAAGAAATTTGAGTAAAATCGATTTCAAGAAATTAATTCAAGCTTTAGAGTATGATGTTTCGCTATGAAAATATAAGATTCACATTATGTAACTTTCAAAAAGGGACATAATAATTAATCTCATACAAACTCAATCCTGTTTTGCTTTATTTCTCTTCCCAAATTCTTAACAATTAATTTTCTTCCGTGTACATTGAATTAAAAAAACAATTAAGGAAATTTTTCAGTCAGCTTAAGTGTAATAGAAATATTTCTATAACATTTATTTCTTAAAAAAAGCGTAACAATTCAAAGTAGTATTTATTTAACTAATATTCGGATAATTTAAAGAGCTTGCTTTACATAAAAAAATTACAAATATTTCACATTTTATATTACTATATGTATAAGCTTTCAGATTATATATATATATTAATATTATTATTTCCGTGTTTTAGCGTTTTCCGTTTTACCTTTGTTTATTAAATATCATGTTCTTGGCACTTAAACCATAAAAATTCAATTCAACAGCAATATCACAAAATATTTAAAAAGAGCACATTTTTAGAATTTCCGATAGACAGTCTCGTGCGCTGGAGATAAAAATATCCGTACAGTGTTACCATTGCTGGCTTTGAAATCGTTGAGCTTGTTAATCAGAAATTCGCTAAAGTTTTACAAAATATGAAAGGGATAATAAAACAAATTCCTAATTTCAAATATGGGGCTTCCAGATGACGAGTGGAGGACTTCGTTATTCAAAATTTGATGTCTCCATCTTTCTCCTTTTTTTTTTTTTTTTCAGAATGCGAGAAACATACATACATTCACGCAGATTTTTCATTATTTAAATTCTTTAAATATAATGCAGGGCTCTAATATTTGCTGGCAACAACTTCAAAAGTGAAACGCAGTTTTATAGTGGACGATGCCAAATGCCGAAACGAAATTAATAGCCCTTTTCGGTAAACTGCCCCTTTGGGATAAAAAAAATTCTAAAATTAATTTTTAAAATAGCAATTATTTATATTCAATGTACCTTCAATTTATAAAATAGCTAAGGAAATTTTTCACTCAATGCAAGTGTAACAGAAATATTACTATGACATTTATTTTTTAACAAAAGCGGAACAGTTCAAGGTATTTATGTAACTAATATTCCGATAATTTGAAGAGTTTATTATCAATAAAACAAAATTCCACATAATGAATTTAAAATACAAGTAGTTACATTCTATAGGCCCACCAGCGGCCGAGCGCTAAAGACGCTGAAAACTGGTAGTTCGGTCCGAGGTTCGAATCCCGGGAACGAGCTGGCTTTCGCGGTTTTCCCCATGTGTAACGTGTATACAAGCCAGTTTCCCTTAGAAAGTCCTCCACGAAGGATAATATTCGGATAAATTAAACGAAGGGCGGTTCGGATAATTTAAACCATAAATGAAGGGCATTTTTCAGTCGGCATAAGTGTAACAGAAATATTTCTACGAAATTTATTTCTTTAAATGATATGGCAACAACTCAAAGTATTTATGTGATTCATATTTGGGTAATTTAAAGTTTCAGTAAAGTGGAAATCTTGGTTTATTATTAAAATTTTATCCTATTAACATACTTTCATAAACAATCTGTTTGTGACATCTTAAACATTATTTCCTGCCACTGTAATTTTGTTTTCCTATTAAAGAATATTACGTCTGTTATTCTGGACATTTTACTTTTGCTAACAAAGGTAATTTATGAGAAATAAATGTATGAAATGTTCCGTAAAATCTGAGTCT